GCCTTTGCCCACACAATCACAATGGCGGTTGTGTAAAGACGTCATGTGACCCGTACGCTTTGGGCAAAACAGAGCTGGATGAGGATTAATTCAGCATGTTTGGGAGCGCCTGTGTGCCAGTGTCTCATGTACTACAATAGGACGCAGGCTTCAATCCTTTTCAGCATATCCGAAAAATATTCACACATGAAGCTGGTTATGCTTTTCTCTCGTATTTTCATAGTTTCAGAGAGAGAGAGGTGGAGAGGGAGGACACTTACTAGTACATCCTGGACTTCTACTGCTAAGTTTAAAGGACTGATACTATACGCCATTTTCTGATTCGTCGTAATATTGTTTCCTCATCGATGACAAACCTGGACTAACTACAATTAATAATAACGAAATACGGTAAATACTCTGGTATCATTAGGGGTGTGCAAAAATATCGGAATATCGATATATCGTTTAATGTGATGATACAGTATCGATATCGTGGGCTACTGTATCGATATATCACCAAGAGTATTTTTAGGTGTGTTTTACTAAATTATTTTGTTACAGTGCTACAGTTTTGTTGCTTGTGGAGTGAAAGGAAGCTCATTTATGCGACACATTTGACATTTTCACTGTTTTGATGATTAAAATGTTTGTGTTTCATATGAACTTCGCACAAGAAATGGTTTAACAAAGCCTTTTAGTATCACAGCTACGATTTAGCCTTTATTTTTTATTAAACCGTATCGAATCGATTTGAAATATATCATATCGAATCGAAAGTGCACTGTATCGAGATATGTATCGTATCGTGACCTGTGTATCGAGGTATGTATCGTATCGGCAACTTCTTAATGATACCCAGCCCTAGGTATCATATTGTCAAAGTTCTCACAATAACATTGTAGAGCACCACAATATATCGAATTATTTGTTTATTTGCCTCTTTGTTTAATTTTAGAGTTATGGTGCAGCATTAGCTAAAAAAAAACCAAAAAACTACATAGACCATGATCCTTTGCTCCATTTCAGTGTAGACTACAAGAACAGTTCTAAGCACTTTTAAGTCTTAGTTCTTGGGATTAAGTCTTGTCAGGGCATTTTAAGAAGAAAAGCATATTCACAGTTTTGTTTGCCTCCACAAAATATCTCAGTAAATATCGTTCCATGAGATGTATATTGTGAAAATATCGTACCGAGAGATTTGGATATTGTTACATTCGTGAGCCTCCCCACCATATTGCAAGCTTTCCCATGATATCGCAATAAATATCGTACCGTGAGGTTCAAACCGTGATATTGTAGCGTGAAACTTGGATATTGTTACACCCCTAGTAAATACATACATGCAACAAAAAGTTAAACACAGCAATAGCAGTACGGAAGATAATTAGTTTAATCAGTTTTTGAATTTTGAATACCGCAGAATTTCTCACTTTGAATTTTTTAATTCTGAAAAAACACGTTTGAATTATTTTTATTCCGCATGTCAGTGAATGAAATTATATGTGTACATTTTCAACTTTACTTTTAAAAATTCAGCACAAATAGTTTAAAGCCCTCAAATTTCAGCGTGTAAAATTCGCAGTGAAAAAAATATCGAAGACGCCAAGGCCTAAGCAATCAATCCAAAGTGATCCAATCTAAAACTACGCCCACAAATGAGAACAGCCAATAGGAAACAGCCTCTGTCCTCCTCACTCACACATAATCGATTACTTCTGCCTTGACATTTTTACTCTTTTATTCTTTTTTAGTCTTTGCTGTCAAATTTTTCACTGCGAATTTCACACTCTGAATTTTCAATGCTGAATTTGAGGGCTTGAAAATATATGCACTGAATATTTAAAAGGTGATATCTTTATTTTGAATATGAAACATATTAAAAAAAGTATACTTAAAATTTCAGCAACAAAAATTCAGAGTTAAGTGAGAAATTCAGCAGTATTTAAAATTCAAAATCTAATGGAACAAATTATCTTCCATATAGCAGACTTTCCCAGTTCTGTTATTTTCATAGTTTCTGTTTCAGAGGTGGAGAGAGACACCATTTATACGCTGGACTTTACGTCCTACCTGCAGTTAATGATTCGAAAACAAAGTGAATTAACACGCACAATAAAACATGTGGCTTATTTTGCATTTATAAAACAATATATAGACAAATTTAATGGTGCACTGCGGAATATTTCTAGTGGAGGGTCCAATCTACAGCATACATTAACAACAACTTCAGTTAAACCTATCTATCCATGCAGTGTTGGGGAGTAACAGATTACATGTACTGGAGTTACGTAATCAGAGTACAAATTATGAGTAACTGTATTCAGTTACAGTTACTGTTTCAGTAAGTGGTAAATGGATTACAGTTACTTTGTTGGAATAAATGGATTACATGGTGGTGTTTTCCTGTTTTTACATTTTGGGCTAAACCAGAACTAAAACCAGATCTAAACCAGGACTAAACCAGGACTAAACCAGGTCTAAACCAGGTCTAAACCAGGTCTAGACCAGGTCTAAATCAGGACTAAACCAGGACTAAATCAGGTCTAAACTAGGACTAAACCAGGACTAAACAAGGTCTAAACCAGGACTAAACCAGGTCTAAACCAGATCTAAATCAGGACTAATCCAGGTCTAAACCAGATCTAAACCAGGACTAAACCAGGTCTATGCCAGGTCTAAACCAGGTCTACATCAGGTCTACACCAGGACTAAACCATGCTGTGTGGACCGTGTCTCCTCCTCTTCTATCTATCTATCTATCTATCTATCTATCTATCTATATATATATATATATATATATATATATATATAAATACGGTTCAGTAAAGTCTGGGCTTTTCATTGTCTTTTAGCAGACAAACATCTTGCGTTATGATATCCTTGTCTTTGCTTCTCTACAGCAAATCAAGTAATCCAAAGTATTCAGATTACGTTACTCACTTTAAGTAATTTAATGGAATCCATTACAAACTACATTTTGGGATATGTCATCTGTAATCTGTAGGGGAATACATTTTAAAAGTAACCTTCCCAACACTGCCCGAGAGAGACAAGCAGGTTACAGCACTACGCTACATTACAATTCAGATCTGTGGAGAGGCGACCCTATTCATAAAAAGAGTTCTTGTATTAGAAACACCCATTATGAATAAATGCTAGATGGTTGTTTAACGTCATACCATGGAACATTCCAGGCAAAGCAGTAACATCTCCATGGACACAAGTATGTAGCGAACCCTCCACCAAAAAAGTTACGCAGCGCACCTTTAAACTGTGCATATATTTGGATGACAGTGATAGCAGACTTTCCCTGGTTATACTGTATTTAAAAGGTCACAACCGGTTAATGCTTGAATTTTAAAAAAGCAGCATCTCAAAGTTAAACGATATTACTTCAGCAATGGCAAAGCGATGTGCTGGTCAGTGCTTTAATCACAACAAAACTTGCTGCTAGAAGCAACTTAATCGAGAGACGTAACCACTAACCTATGACATAACCTCTAACAACCGCCTATGACAAAACAAATCATTCTGTATTTCATTTCACATGAGACAAACCTCAGAATACAAACAGAATTCATCAAAATCCAACACAAACATGGCTGATTATTGAAGCATATGCTAATAGTACTAGCATTACAATACTATTTTGGCTTCTATTTACATAACTGTGAATAATTTTGTGGTTAAAAACTATTGCAATCTAACATTTTCCATTTCAACTAAAGTAAATTTGACTCTTGTGAGCTTTAAGCCGTGTTAAAATGCCGTGTTTTGTTTCATTCCCACACATATGAGTAATAATTTATTAGTCTGCATCTCCAAAGCTTAAAATGCTCTGTTGCACCTTGTGATGTCATGAAGAGCAAATGTTCAAGTTAGCAGCTACCTTTACCTTATGTTTATATAATGATGGTTTGAACAGAAGATGCAAAAGTAGCATCGCATCTTCACTTTTTATTCCACGTTTTTATTCCAGCATTTTCGAGAGGAAATCTGCGTGCATACAGTGACGCAAAAGTGTGTGGAATTCGACGTTTATTTCTGTGTACTGCATGTGTGTGACGTAAACGTGTACGCGACGAGAGCTGATCTGACTAGAGTTTTGCGTCTTGGGCAGTGTAGACGGAAACGCTACAGCGGAAGGTATTCAACTTTTCCACTCCGGAGGGTGGTTTAAGATTTGGGCAAAATGCGGCCCTCAGACAAATTTTTCTTGGCCCTCAGACTCCTGTGTGAATTGGCCCAAATTACCTTGTGTTAGTAAAAATTTACTTTTTACTGCAAGTTTTTTGAAAATCTACCTTGATAAAGCTAATATTTATTATTATTGTGTGGTTTTAAGGATCTTAAACATGCATATATTTCCATTATTCACTGTACTGAGCACCAGTCTACGGCTCTCTGCTTCGTCTGTGTTTAGAAATGTGGTCCTTGATGAAAAAAGTTTGGACACCCCTGATCTAAATGAAAGGTTAGTTCAATAGAGACTGGCAAATCCTGAGCTGAAATTATTTAAATTATTGAAATGGAGGTGTTTGGAGTTTAAAAACACAGTGGAGCACTTCTTGTATTGCCACTTGACATCACAAGGTGGAACAAGGTGGAGTGTTTTCCGTTTTAGAGAAGAACTCAGCCTAAATATACAGGATTTTGTGTGTTCAACATGTGTGAATGAAACAAACAAACAAAAAAAACAACAACAACAACAACAAAACACACAAATCCAGAACTGTTTTTTGATGAGATAACAACACAATATAGGCCCTTAATTAAACTGCCCAACCAACTCCACTGCTTTCACACAACAAAATGACAATATTTCACCACCTAAACACACAAAACTATCTCAGAACACTAATGCTTCTGTACATCTTTATTACCTGACACTAAACCTGACCCGCAGTTTCTTATCCAGCCTTATCAAGCAGCACACCAGCGTCGTAACGTACCCATATCGCTACATAAGCCGCTACTTAAATCATTGGATGCAGTAAGTGATAAATCAGATGCCTTACCGTGACTGTGTATTCCTATTAGGTCCAAATCCGCTTCTTAATCCTCATCAATCATAGTACTTCTGCAATGAAAAACAACACAAAGCGAAGTACATCAGCGACATAGTACAGTGATACGGGGAGAAACAAGACTTAGGTGGAGTAGTTTATGGAGATACAATAAAGCATGACAGATCAGGGTTATATCACTTCCCCGAGCGGCCGGTCCCTTCTGTATCTCTTTGAATCTGGAATCGGACAACAGAGCGAGAAAAACTTCTGTCCAGATTTCAGAGAATCCAACCACAGATGCTAATTTGTAGCAAGTGTCTCTCAAATTAGGAAGACGTCTCTCAAAAAATCTCATGTCATTCTTCTTCTACTTTGACTTGTAACCATGCTTCTACTTCTTCTACTTCGACAACTTCTTCTGCTTCTACTATTTGTGCTTCTACTTCTTCTTCTACTACTACTTCTTCTGCTTCTACTTGTACCTGTGCTTCTACTTCAACTATTTCCTCTATTTCTACTACTACTTCTACTTTTTCTACTTCTACTTCTTCAACTACTACCTCTACTTGTACTTGTGCTTCTACTTATACTTCTATCTGTACTTGTACTTCTGCTACCTCTACTTGTACTTGTGCTTCTATTTCTTCTACTACTTCTATTTCTTCAACCACTACTTGTACTTGTACTTCTACCTGTACTTCTACTTCTACAACTTCTTCCACTTGTATTTGTACTTGTGCTTCTGCTACTTGTACTTCTTGTACTTTTACTACTTCTTCTACTTCTACTTCTACTACTTGTACTTGTACTTCTACTTCTTCTACTACTACTACTAATCTACTAGTACTAGTACAAGTACAGGTACTACTACTTGTATGTGTACTATTTCATCTGCTCCTACTACTTCTACTACTTCTTCTACTTCTACCTGAGATAAGTAATAGTTTGGTGCTTCGATTCCATTTCTCAGTCCTTTATGTTGATTTTTCTCCTTTTACATGTCTAAGCAGTAGGGATGTAACAATAACAAAAATATTATGATATTGTATTGTCAAAAGTTGCACAATAATATCATGGACCATCACAATATATCGAATTTACAAGTTTCTTTGCTTAAATTTATATTTGTGGTGCAGTATTGACAAAAAAGACAGAGAGAACTACATAGACCATGATCCTTTGCTCTGCATCAGCACAGTCTACATGATGAAATAACTGCACTGAGTAGTCGTAGCGTAATTTGGTTATCTTCCACAAAATATCACAATAAATATGGTAATGTGAGATGTATATCGTGAACATATTGTATCGAGAGATTTGGATAGCATGCGTCTCTCTGATTGGTTAATCCGCCTGTCAATCACATAGTCTGAAATCAGTGAGACAGGACACGGCTCTATATCCCCTCGTCTTCGTGAAGTTTTCCAACTGCTAGTATATAACAAGCCTTGGCAGATACAATGTACGAGTTTAATCCCAGCAAAATATAAAATCTCTCAGTGACAAATGCAAGTTGATTTCCTGCTTTCTTCCGAGTCTTTGAACGCACCATTGCTCGCAGGGATATGTCTCTGTGCTTCCGGCTTCTCTTCTACAACGTGCACATCCCCTAATGGGCCGACCACTCACTGACTGTTAATGCACTAGCCTACTTTGCACACTTGTTTCAATACAGCGCCTGTTTCCATACTCCCACTGATTTTCATTAATATTCTGCGAGGCACTGGCAACTGAAAATACAAATTTAGCTTAAAGGGGCAGCGTGCTTTTATTTTTAAACTGCTCTTGGTCTCCTATAGCATAGTAATTTTATTTATAACAGGAGCCAAAATGAAAAAAAATATATAAAAAATAAGGGAAAAACTGTTACATTGTTGATGATAGTAGACACTAGGGACACATCACTCTGATACATTAAAAGGTAGAGTACATAACTTTCTGCTTTAAAAACACAGTGTGCTTTAATTTTTAAACTGGTCTCGATCTCTTATAGTTGTTATAAATGAATTCACAATGGTATTCTAACAAGAGCCAAAACAAACATACCTTATCAATAAATCATAGCACTTTATTCTTCTGTTTCTATACTTCCAATAAGGATTTCTAATAACAAAGAAAAATCATCTGAAACTGAGCATCGCTTGGATGCATTAAAGGTACACTATGTAACTTTCTGAAGGTGTCACCTGCATGATTCAATGAAAATAGAAAAGCATACTTCAGAACATTCTACATGGAGATAGAGTTTTATCTGATATGATCAACATTTCCATGGCAACAAGCAGGAGGAGGCTAGCCAGGCTGGTGCCACCTAGTGCCTCCGCTCAATTTAATTTCTGTCCAGTGACTAGGTCAGGAATCAGAATACACAGACACATAGACAGTTTGCAAGAACCTCGAAAGTTGTAAACCGCGCACCAGCCAATCATCAAAGAGCTGTGAAGCCACGACGTCAAACTCAAGTGCCTGTCTGGATCTCTTTTGTGGTACAGCACAACAGTTTACACAGTGGTGGAGATGGATGTAGATGACACAAACTTTGCAATTTTGATTGGACCTTTAATTCGTAAGTTCACCTCGCAGAAACAACAGTGATCATTGACAGAAATGTTCACTCTCTGCTTTGGTTGCTGTTGTGCTGGCAATTACTTGGACACCACTGAGCGTTTCGGCGCATTACATACGTCACAACCAAAATAGCAGCAAATGTTTAAATACAAAAGGACCCGCCTACCGTTGCATGAACGAATCCTAATGCTGAATCAGGATAGGAAAAGGCCCTCTTCCAGGCCAAATAAGAGTCAGGTTTGTGGAGATGCAAGCCCTCTCAGAGAAATGATGCATGTTTTTTTGTTTTTCAGTGCAATAAACTGAACCGAAATGCTTATATTTTGGGCGATTTTTTGCTAAAAAGCTACATAGTAGAAATGACAGTATGAAACATTCAAAAAGTCAAAAGAATGCTAATTTAAACAGTTATGAATGTAATAAAAGAAAAGAGAACAGATTTTTTAAAATCTATGTATGCTGAATGGTGAAAGAAACCACATTTCTCAAAGAGCAGCAACACGCCCTGTATTTAATCACTGCTAACACTAGCAAGCTAAATGCGTGATTTACTCATTTTTCCATCAAATTTAATTAGTCATAGGGGCTTAATTAACTAACTTGGATCTGATATTGTAATTTTACACTTGGATGTGGCATGCAGAAAAAAGGGTCCTTGAGCACAAAGGAAGTCATAGTAAACCCGTGTTCATTAAAAGCTCTTATGTGCAGACATGTTTTCAGTGGAGGCATTAGTGACTGAGTGCTTCTAATCAGACCCTACACGCTGGGAGGTTACCTTTTATTCCCTGGAATCTGGCGAATCTTCCGTCCATTATTCCGTGTTCCCGTTGGCCACTGAACCATGCCTAATACAAGGTACACCCCTCAGATTTTCGGGGAGCAGCGCATCGCTCATCAGGCTACAGAGAGGCGCAAGACTGCAATTAAGGGAAATGATGGTTGATATGGTGCTTTAAGGGGTCACTTCACTGGAGTGGAAGTGGGGGCGCTGGGAATTTGAATTTAGATTTCATTAACATTGTGTCTCGTGTGTCAAAACAGAATTATTGGGGAAAACATTAAAAAAAAAAAAAAAAAAAAAAAAAAAGCTGCAGATGCTATTATTGCCACTGCTATTCAGATTTTGCAATTATATCATTCTGGGGGTGCTCTACATGTATCTCTAATGGGGGAATGTTTAGGAGTTACCATGGTGACACAATGCATACATTAAAAACGGTTTAAAGATTTTCTGAAAACTGAAAAAAAAAAAAGGATAAAACAGCACATTTTCAGGAGCCTGTCATCCTGTTTAGGTGCTTGATTTTCAACAAAAAGGTGAGAGTAACTAGCTGAAAAACTGTGAGAGACTTGTTTAACAGCATAAACCAACTCTTTCTGGTCAGATTGTGTTCAAATAAATCTTAGATTAAAATCTAATAAAGCCTCAGACAGAGCAGAGCCTTCAGTTAGCATCACAAACCCAGGAAATGTTGATGATATCAGTTCTAAAGTATCAATAAATGCTACCTCCAGAAATCAATTCTACTGCTACAAACATTCCTAGTACTACAAATACTCATACAACTACTGCTGCTGATACAACTATCATGTTAAAAGTAAAATTATAATCTAGAATATATTGAAACCCGCATAAATATTAAAAAGGCTGCGAAATTAAACAAGAAACGTGCAGTGCAACCAAATAAAAAGTGACATTTCTGCAGTTTTCTCATAAATTTTAAGACATATTGTGATTATGTTGGCTATATAGTTATAATCTATGACATCAGAGGGTCATTATGTTATAATTTGGCCATTTTAAATCGTAATATTCATCTAAAATGGATTAATAAAAGAAAAGTACGAGGACTTCCACATTAGAAAACTGTGGTGTCCAGTGGGAGCTGACGTCGCAGTAAACTTCATCACAACAAAGAGTCAGCAGATTTTTTTTTTTCATTCGTACCAAAATTACTCTGTGACGCTGCCAAAACCTACATGTATCAAGATTAAGAAAATAAAACTCTAAAACAAAGTAAGTATTAAAATATTTGCATAATAAGTCTGCTTTGAGTCCATTTCCTTTTTACATTTTTCATCTATACACTACTACTTAATGTGTTTCTGTGCTGTGTCCACTCTACACTGCCAGCTCAGAGTTAGTTATCTTGACCTATATGTCATCAGCGGTATAATACTCCCTACAACGAAACCATAATCAGCCTCAGACCTCTTCTTACAACTCTTGTTCGACTTCATTTTCTACAACATCTGCTTTTTCCACTGATGCCTGCAGTCCATTCTAATAACAATTAAATAAAGATAATGTTTTGTATTATACTTTTTTTATTTAATGAGTCATACTTGTTCAAATCTGACCCCGAATTTGCAAACAAACAAAGCGTAAACAAGCTAGATAAAAGCCAAGAGAAATTATTAGAAGGCTTCACGCTGAATCGACATCCCAGTCACGACAGATAACTGACACTGTCCCCAAAAACAGCATGTGCTATTTATT